TTTTTTTTTTTTTTTTTTGAAGATAACTTGTTACAGAATAGAGCTTTTGTGGTCGAGTTTTATGGAGATACCTGTTCAGCATGTGTTCACTATGCTCCACAGTATAAAAAGGTTGCAAGGTTGCTTTTTGTTGCTCTTGAATTTTTTTTTCAGTACATATCTATCACAGCTTAATTTGGTATAGATGTATAGTGATATAGCCGTGACAAATTAATAGCTGTTAGATTTATTCTGGTTTGCTTCTCCTATACAGTCATTAAATACTGCGGATGTTTCCCGTTCGGAATCAAATTGTGACTTATTGCTCTCTTTCTCTCTTCAGTTTAAAAAATTGATACGATAAATAAATTTTAAGCCAGATGTATGAGTTGTTTTTTTTTTTGTTTTTCAATGTTTTCAACGTTTAATTCTTTTGCGTTAAAAAACTGTATAAAAATGCAGTTAATTTATCATGTATATCCTATTTTTTTTTCCGTTTAAGCCAGTTGAAAACTTGGACTCCAGTGGTTGCATTAGCAGCAGTAAACTGTCACGATCATCGTATGTTATGCTTGGACCACAATATTCAATATTTTCCAACGTTAAAGGTAAATGTTTCTTGTTTTGATTATCACCAAAACTAAACACATTTGCTTAGGCATTTACAGTTCTTAGATTTAAATAGCTTTTTGACATTGTCCTAATAAAATACATAAATTTTTGTGTCATTCAATTAGAATGTTATTAGCAAAAAATAAAAGAAAAAAAATAATTGAAACTGTGTTTGTAATTATGTTCAAGGATGTTTTTCTGCTATGTTGATTGAATTACAAAGAGTTGTTTAAAAAAAAGAAACTTGTACGGCGAACGTATTGGATAAAACAAAAAATGCTTTCTTAATTAAATATCGTTTTAAAATTGTATAAATACGACCATATAAATGTTTTTTCAACTTGTACAAATACAAATATAATTGTAAATATAATGTTAATATATGTATACATAATGTTTTTTTTCTGTAAAGAAGTGATTTTTTTCCCCTTTCAGTATTTCAAATACTCCTCTAAAGACAAAAATGATGGTAAAATATTTGGTGGGACAACTGCAGAAAAATTCCCACTTCGTTTGGCATCCTTAGTTTACGAAGACTGGCTAGAACAGAAGCCAAAAAATTGGCCTAATTTTAATGCTACTGCAAGGTTGGTTAAATGTATCAGCTTTTGATCTCTTTTTTCTACTGTTTCTTTACTAATTACCTGTCAGTTAGTCTGCTTTTACAGCTTTGATGAGCACTAATCACTTTTTCTTTTCTTTCAGCGACTTATCGTTGGACGATATTTGGAAGAACTTCAACGATTCTGTTTTACTTGTAGCATTAATTGTCGAACCGGATCCTCAAAGGATAACCTGGGCGGTAAATTACTAATTGTTTTTACTTAGTTTACTTTTTATTATCAGAATTACCAACAGTTAATTTTCACTGGTATTTGGTGACTGGTAAAATTAATGGTCACGAAAAGAAACAGATCTTATTAAGGAAATGATAAACTTTGCTTCTAATGAACGAGTACAGATACTCCAAGCTTCAGTAGATAATGCTGCTATTAAAGATTTAAATTCTTCAAAATCAGATCAGTCAAAGCAACTTTATATGTTTGAAAGAGGTTCTCCGAATCCTGTAGTTGAATCCAGGTAAGATTGTCTAAGCCAATTCTATAGTTAAAGAAGAATTTGTTGTAAATGTTAGTGTCAATGGTCTACATGCACTCGTTTTCATCCTCTATTTATACTTTTCATAACAGTTTCGCTGATGTCTACTTTTATTCACTTTTTTATTGCTATCAACATGATCCTATGCACTTAAACAATGACTGATTAATATAGAAAAAAATAGTGTTTTCAGAGAACGAATAACCTTTCAGAAAGTTCGTGAGCAGATTATTGATGAGCTAAGGCGGTTGCGACCACAGGTTGCGGTCAAATTTTTCCTTCTTTAACAGCCGTTGTTTAATGGATCTGTTAGTAGCAAATTAATATCAAGTCAAATTTTAGGAATTCATAGAGGAAGACGCGTCATCGACATCAGAAACCGCCACAGTTAAAGTGACATGGACTCAATTTGAAGTGAGTTCATTTATTCTGTATATGTTCGACTGCAAAGCGTTAGGTGACTATTGATATCTCATGTATGTTTCGGTCGAATTTGCTTATACACTTCTAAGCTTTTAGGTACACATTGTGGATCTACTGTCAACACTTTATAATATGCTAAAAACAGAAATTCCGAACGATCTTGTTTTTAAACGGAGTAAGCTAAAAGGCTTGAAAATATGGATGAAATTTTTGGCAAAGGTTAAAATTTTTGTTTATGACTATAAAACGATTTTTATTGCTGCTTTTTTAATTTTTTTACAAGCACTTTTAACTAGCTACATTGAAATTTCACTTTTAGTACATGCCATCTATTCATAGCAGTGCTGGAAAACTCTGTAAGTCTTTGTACGGGTGGTTGACTACACAGCATAAAGAGGTACAACGAACCGTATGGTTGGATAGAGTCAACAAATATATGGTAAGGAACAAATTTTGAAAGTAAATTTGGCCACATTATTTTCTGAGACGACTTAAGCTTTAGCGAGAAACTGGCCATCCGATAAAATTTGCGTCAGAGTGGATGGCTTGTCGTGGTTCAAAACCATTTCTGCGTGACTATAACTGCGGTCTATGGACATTGTTTCACGTGCTTACAGTAGCAGCACACACGAGGAGAAATCAATGTTTGTTTATTTGAAGGAAAAGTTTTTGAAACTGTTGGGTTTAAATGCTTCTGCACTGTCGTATTTTAGCTGACATCAATGCTGTTGAAGAAGTGTTGAAGCCAATTCATCAATTCATTATGAATTTTTTGAATTGTGAACATTGCAAAAATCATTTTGATGCTCATTACTTAAAAACTGTGGGTGCTAACCAAACATACTATTCAGAAACAGGTAATTCTTAAATTTTACTATCAGTAACAATTTTTTTTTGAATTGACAGTGGTAGATATTATCGCCAGTTTTTATCTACTTATATCTGTAGAAAAGGCTATAATGTGGCTCTGGGATACGCATAACATCGTCAACAAAGTGCTTGCTCAACTTGGAAAGCAAGATCCTGCTTTTCCAAAACAGCAGTTTCCTCCACGTTCTCTCTGCTCATCCTGTTGGAATGATGATCATTTTGACAAACCTGAAGTGCTCAATTTTTTGGTCAATTACTATGGCAAGCAAAACATCACTTACACATTCGAGACGAAGGTTTGGTCTGACAAATTTTGACTTCTTTTCTTATGCAAACTTTGAGGCCACAATTTTTCAAAAGTTGTCTTTCAGCAGAAATTTTCAGACACTTAGGTTGTATTAGTCAAAAAGAGCATTATTCTAAATAATTTTTGAATTGCAATAGTTTAACACAGTATAACACAAGAAAACATCATTAGAAAGGGCATTTTTTCCTAGCATCCCAGAGGATCATAGATCACGTTTTCCAGAAATCTGGACTACTGGACTTATTGGATTTATCGGACTCTTCGAGAGCTTCTACGACTGCAAATCGTTTAGGGTATAGTTTCTCATACACGGAAATAAGCAAGAGTTTGCAAGAGACCGCAGTCTGTAATGATTAGGTGTAAGAGACGAAGAAGGGTTATGGACACCAGTCGCCTCTGACGAAATGAGTTACGGGAGAACCGATCTGTAACTGATTATTGTCTTCAAAGCGAATCGTCATTCCTGATTTGTTGAAGACGCTTCTCAGGCTTCTTCATTGTCATTTTCGTTCATGGTAATAGGTACTTGCTGTGGTGGGAACGCCGTGTCCCATGAAGCTAAAGTGTGCAATATCTCCTGCCTACACTTAGAAAAATATAAATTTCTTCCAGTTGAAAGCCTAGATTTCAAAATGGCTTTGTTCTGGTACTTTTATGGAACTATTAAACCAGTTCTCAGTACTTGGATCAGTTTTTATCAAAAGTTTTTGAAGAATTAAAAGAAGGACGTCGTTGAAGACAGGTTGACAAATTCTAACGACAAGCCATACATTTCAACTTTCTTTCTTTTTTCATTTCGTGTTGGATTCTTTGTTCCGTCGTTTGTACGTTTTCAACTCGCTTAAGGTGGACGCCGATCAAACTTGAAGAATTTTCCAAATTCAGCGATAACTTTCGTACAAAAGTTTTCAATCCACTCGCTGTCGCTCCTCTTGGGACATCTTCTTCTATGGCAGAAGAGTCTGCATCAGCTCGACACTACTTTCATTCATCGAACTCTCTAAGACATCTGGCAAATCAGAGCTTTAGAGCATTCAAGTAAGCATTCAGATCCGTCGTATAATGTCACTTTGTTTCAACGAGCTATAGGCAGAAATCTTTTTACTTAAACCTGTTCAGTGCAGTGAATTACATTCAAATAGATGCGTCACAGTAAAAGATAAGAAGTTTGAAATAAGCTGTATCTTATAACAGTGCTGATTAGAACTGGATTTGCGTATTTTTTTTATACGCAACGTAAGGTTTTATTAGTGCTGTAAAGGTTAATGAAAATTGGCACAGAAAAGCTCTTTTTGAACTGTATAACCTAAAGAAAAACTATGCAGTATGCATATATATATATATATATATATGAAAAAAACTTGAGCGTCTTTTTTTAAGAATTCTCAAAGAAATAATTTGTGCTGTGGTATATACGATACAAAATAAAAAATCCTTGGTGACTAAATGGTGGCACCTTTATGAGTAAATTTTTTAAAATTTTTTGAGGTAGAAATTTTTTGTTTTTTCTATATGAAAAAGTAGTTTTAAACTTGTAAATATTGTAATGTATAATTGCTGTATAGTCAATTGTATAGTCAACTTACCTAAGTGGTTGATTAAAATATCTCAATGAAAATTCTTGAAAGTATAAAAATTAAAATTATTTTTAGCATTTTAAAAAACCAACAGCTATACTAAATTGAAAGACTTTTGGTTGGAAGTTATTTTCTAGGATCTTTTTTTTTATAACTTATATATTGAAGATAAACTGATGCCAAAAAAATGATACGTTTTGTGGAACGGATAGCTCAGCTCTCTGTTGATTATTTTGCCGTTCTGATGATTTATGGTTAGTAGTAATGTAGCAGAATTAAGGAATCACTTGATGTATTCAGAAGGTTAGCAAAAAAAATTGTTTGAAGTAAATGTACATTAAAAGTGTTTTCAGAATGGAGCTAGTACCACGTCTAATTGGACGTTCAGTATCATAGCGGTGAATTCGCTACTGCTAGGAATTCTATTGCAAACAGTTGTTATTGCCTGTATTTTCCTGTTTGTTTAATCTGCCAAAATCTCTCCCAGCTTTTTTTTTTTTTTTGTTGTTGTTGTTATAAATAGAAACCTTTAAAGAAGAAAGAAAAAAGGAAAGAAAGAAACGAGGCGAAAAGCATTGATCTGTTGTTGGTTATCTTTGTACAATTTACCAAGTAAAGACATATAGCTTATATCTTTTCTATGTTGTTTTTTTTTTTCGCTGCTATTTTTTAATACTCTTTCATTTATCTTTTGTACAATTTAGAACAAAATTTGTTTTTAGTATCTTTAGAGTTGTATTAATTGTTTTTTTCTTGATTTTTGTTTTTCTTTTAAGTTTAAGCAACACAAAAATGATTGTTTATTAAAAAAATTATAGTAAATTATAGTTAAAAGTTTTTTGTTCAGGTTTTCACTATTGTTTTTTGATGTGTCAGTTCTCACTTTGAGATACATTATTTTTTTCTTCCATCTACTTGTCATTTTATTGCTTCTTTTTTTTTTGATTTTTTAACTTCTGTATCTGTAGATGATTAACATTGATAATCGCTGCAGGTAGTAGGATTTCTAGCTGCAACTGAAACTCTTTAGTGCTCTTTTTCTTTTCACCAATTTTTAGTTTCTATAAATTCTCCTTCAACGACGGTTTTAATAGCAAATTTTCCTTTGCAAAAAGATATGAAAAAAGTTTTTTTGACTAGAGGAAAAGCAAAATTTTATAGCATAAATTGAAGAAAATGACTAAATGGTTGTTATTTCTCTTTTTTTTTTGTGAAAAATTATTGTTTTGTTCAGATTGGATGAAAGTATAATTTGGCTAGAAACTACTTCTGAGAGCTCAATAGTCTAGCTCTTGTCTTGTTTTAAGAAAAAAACATTTTTTGTTCAGGGTAACCAGAAACAAAAATAGATACTTATTCTTGTTTATTAACAATACAATACTTGCATATGTTCACAGTACAAAGATTAGCATTATCTGCAAAGTAGTGTATGTGATCATTATATACGTTCCATGAATAAATCATCATCAACACTTTTGGTGGACTAGATGACATTAACAGATGAATAAATGTTTAAAGCTCTTATAATTCTTTCTGTGGTATACAATAAACTTGGCAAAAAAACTGGTGGTTGACAAAATCTTCGGAAAATCTTTTTGGTTGACAAAATCTTCGGACAGCAATCTTCCAGAACTGTTTGGGCAACACGTGTTATGACGTCATTGTTATAGTTGTCTTCATTAAATGGTCTTCTAAGACTACTGTTTTGGTTTGGTGGCAAACTGACTTCTTTTTTACTGGTTAGATGTAATAAATGACAGTCTTGACGTCAGGTGAAACAGCTCGCGTTGGTTTTCTGTTTAATTTTCCACAGGTGAAATGACCAAGCAGCAGTATCGCCAATAGAGCACTGCACGACAATACCGTGAACTGTGTTCGGTCGGTTTGCACCAGTCGTACAATTACGTTATCCAGTTGAAACTCTGCATCAATCCCCTCGATTCGTTTATTAAAACAGGTTAAACGAATATTATAGGTTTTTACGCCACTATGTGGAACTTGCAAGACTGTTGAAGTAGTTGCCTGAAAATTTGCGATCCTC